TCTGTCAGAGTTATGTTTCAGATGTTCTTTTCCTGTTTTTCCTGCAAAACACGGTGATTTTAAAAAGTCTACTGTGCAGTACCAGAAGTTTTAAAAAGTTGACATCTATTGAAAATGTGGCCGCCCTTGCTCGAGACTTTTACAAAAAATGTGTCTGGAATAATATCAGGGAGAAGCCTGGTTTCAAGCACAGTAGCATCAGTTAATATTACATCAGTGGGTGACATGCATGAAAAAGATTTTACAACTTGTAGCGGTCTTCTTTTTGCACAAGCAGACCTACTTTAAGCTCCATTATTCACCGTTCCTCAGACTGATTTCCTCCCCTTCCTCTCCGACTGCATTTGGTCCACCACGGAGCTCCAAACGATCTTCAACATCATTTTAAAATTTGGAGGCGCTCCACTCCTACCCCGTGACTTCATATCTTGGCTCCGGAGCGATCTCACTGGGGTCGGCCCCTACACAGTAGCTGAGTTATTGGATGATCTCATTTTGCCGCCCGGAGAGATTGCTGTACAACCGGCATCTTGATGTTCATTCATAAAATTGTGTCAGAGCCCTGAGGTTGTTCGTGGGCCACCGCGTGATAACTCAAACGCCCTTGTGACTCTGACAGGAGTTTCTGTAGCCCCGCTGTGCCCGAGTTGTGTGCAGAGCTTCAGATCTCCCAGCTGGATCGTTTTTTCTGCAGAAATAAAGAAAAAGGAAAATGCATGAAGGTCTCAAACTTCTGGAAGTAATCACAAGACTGATTAATGGGATGAGATGAACTTTGATATGAACGGAGGCTCTGTGCTTTTTAGCAGGTTGATTAGGTGACACATTTTACAACGTGCAGGATTAATTGTATTTTAAATAAACTGCATTGTGTTTTCACAATGTTTCGATTGGAAGCTGTATATCTTTGGAGCCATTCTGAATGATCTGTTAGCTAAATCTCTTTTATTACATTTATTTCTGGATATGATTTCATTTAATTATTATATGGACACTTCATCTCACCATTAAATAGACACGTTTCCTCTGGCCTGTAGTGCTATTTTCCAAATACTGTGTTGATGTGAGTTGCTCAGTTTTAGAGATCTTTTTTACAAAACAGTCTAGTTCTGAAAAGCGGAGCCAAAGCAGAAGTATTTTAAACTTGCATGCTTTCTAGTGACCAGCAGGGGGGGGGCTATTCTAGTCCGCTTTCAAAGAAGCGTATGAGAAAATGACCCTACTGCTCGCATTGCCGGTGACTACGGCAAATGCTTACACAATGAGTTTATGGTCTCAGTTGCTAGTGCCAAGTCTGAATATGTTTATTTTATAAATTATGGTTCTGTTTACATCAAATACGATGATAAAGATGTGATTTAGGGTCGGCCTCTTTCGTGACTGACAAGTCGCTACCATATGAGCGTGCAGTGTCCCTGACGTCTGATGTTAGGTAATAAAAGAAAAACAGTCACTTCACTGCTTAAATACAGGCTCTGATAAATTACAAGAATTTTTTTTTTAGTCTAACGAGATATGAAACATAAACATATAAGTTTACTAACTTTTAATGCAACTTGACGTAAGCCTTCCAAATATCTTCTGATGGTGGAAGATACGATGGCAGCTGGATTTCACTAAATTATTTTGTTTTAGTTAACAAAATTTAGTTTGTCTTGGTTTAGATTAAACTCATCCCTTCTTTTTTTCTTTTTTTTTTCTTGGTTGATGCGTCAATGATCCACATGGCCCACATTAAGACTTCGATTAGTAGCATTCATCTTTGTTAACGATGCTCTTATGACTAGCTTAAAGGCATAGTTCTGGCTGAGGGGGGGGGGGCATTTCCCATCATAAGGATTTAGGGAAGTACCGTCTGCTGGTTTACCAACTGGCTCTAATGATATCCTTATGTGCATTTTGGCCACAGGTACGGGTGAGCTTACTAATAGCAGATGTAGGAAGGAGCCATTTGGCTAGACTCACTGACACGGTGAACTGGCTCACAGCACGACCCAATCATTCACTCAGCCCAACACTTGTTGTGTCCAACTTCCCATTGACTATGAACACGCTCATTTAGAGCAACAGGAGCCAGAGCGTTTGGCACAGGGCTCCTGAACCATCTGTACTTGAGGCTAAGTCGACACGATGGATGTTTTGAGTGTACCGTTTCTATATTAAACACTCTCGTACACTGGACAGATCTGAGCTCTTGTTGGAAAATCAAACATTGGATCAGGATTCAGTTAGATATGTCATGGTAGCTAGTTGGCAGTCTATAAAATAATTCTACAAACGGCGGGTGGGGGGTTGTGTGTTACTTTTTAAAGGGACAGTGCACCCCCAAATCATATTTACATGTTCTTCCTCCGGTCTTTTATTTTTGCATTGGTCTAAGTTGTCCAATGGCATTTGTCTATGACTCCTCAAAGCAACAAAAAGCTGCCTTAGTAGAACCAAACAGCAGTGTCTCTTTCCAAGGTCCACAAACTTTGTTATTCTGTGCTTTTAAATGCTTTCACACACATTCACACATCTGGGACAATTTGAGGTTAAGCACTTGTGCAAGCACGACTTGCAGACTGGAGGAGCTGGGTATTGAACCATCAACCTAACTTTTAGGTTGATGGTTTTATTTGTTTTGTTTTTTTGTAGTGGCTTGATCATCTCAAGACAAGACTTATTTAGACAAGAATGAGCGAGCTGCACCAAAATCTTAAGGGTTGAAAGCAATTGCAAACAAGTATCTTTTGAGGGAAATGAATGGGCAGCACTGTGACTGGCTGAAACGTGCACTGTTTGGCCTCGGTGCTTGGTAGTGAGCTACCATGGAAAAAGCCTGGAGATGCTAAGTAGAAGGCCCGTTGCACTGACTAATGAGAGCATGACTGCTCTCTAATACTGCAGACAAAATCACTGAAGTGATGCAGAAATGCATTATCACTATTACTATTCTTTTTAGGTTGATTAGAGCTGATTGTCTGCATAACTTATTTTGGTATGTTGTGTAGCTTCAAACACAATCTGTTTGAGTTGTGGTGCCAGAAGCATAAGCCTGCTAATGAGTCTCTGATTGTTCCAATTAGTCCTAGTATCATATATACTCACACTAAAGACACTAAATGTGTGGTTGCAGTCATATTGCTGCCAAATTAAAATTAATATTCTTGCGTTAAAGATAAGCTCCGAAAAGATCTGACACGGTGTCTGTGGATAACGCGAACCTAAAGTCTTTAAATATCTTAAATCAATCTGATCTTAAAATTTTAACAAACATAAAAAATTAACATTGCACAGAGCGAGAGGCAAAACACACGGGGGGTAATTCTTCAAAAATATTCAAAAACAAGCATTTTTTATATTTTATATGCTATAAAATACAGGGAAAAGAACAGAAATTAGGCAAGGAAAAAAAAACATATTTTTCTATTTTCCATCCTCAGCTGCTTTGACAAACTAGCATCTGCTGTAATATTTACAACGCTGATGAAGTCTCACAAGTGTTAGCTTTATTTTGATAGCAGGATTGTTTATACAGAGTTTGTAATTGCAGAGAAATACTTAATTCATTTTGGGCATGTCGTTTTCGAGCAGGAACCTCAGAATAGGTGTTTGAGTTCAAGGCAACTGGACTTCTTTTTTAGGTTCTTGAAGAAGCCCTACATATTTAACCTCTCGTGGGGTTGTCACCTTAGACCAACTGCATCATTCACATCATCTTTTCGAACCAAAGAAGCCTTTTGCATGAGAAGTAAAATGTCTTAAAAACCTCAGAAAGAAATGCAGCTGCCTTCAGCTCAAGGACATAAGATCAGTCATTTGTTTTGTTGATTGGCTCTTTGCATTCAAGGTTGGGAGAACTACATCCTTACAGAATTTGAGTTGTTTAAGTCCATATTTCTCTTTTATAATGTCTCATGTCAGGTAACATACAAGTCATGGTGTATTTCTTGCAGAAAACATATGCACAATGGTAATTGAGAGTGAAATCTCGTGCAATGTTCCCAAAATTGCCATGTGGTTGCGTGCATTTGGTCTGTATCAACAGCCTACATAAATTAGCTTGTTGGACGAGAGATTTGACTGAACCACAAAAACCAAACAACCCCAATCAGTTGATGTTGTTTGTCTTCAGTTTTTGGTTTGTGTGAAATTGATTTTAAATTTTATTCTGAGCGGGATCCTCATTTCCTCGGGCTGTAGGAACCCTGCTCTAATTAAAAATGGAAAGTACCAAATTAATACCAGCAGGTAACATTCTCACTTGATGTAGAGTTGGAATTGAACTCTATGAATCTGTTATTTTTCCAGTGAAATCTCCATTTCTCTTCTCATCTGCAGATGCAGACTTTGTTTGCCTTTGACGAGGAGGAAATGGAAATGAGGAACAAGGTGGTGGAAGATCTGAAGACGGCACTTCGGACTCAGCCGATGAGGTGAGTGAAACTTAACTCTTCCATGTGACCTTCCCTTGGGCTGCACATAGCGCTGAGCTCTTTGCTCCATCCCTACAATTTAACTTGTTGAGGTTATACCACACACCGTAATCTGATTTAATAATGGATCTCGTGCTGCAGCGCAGTCTGTCTCTTGTCATGCTAAATGAGCCTATTCTTTACTTCAAACTGAAAAGCGATTAATTAAAGAAATTTTCAGCCGTCCACATTTACGCTTTGGTCATTAGCGGCTTTTGGCCTCACTCGTCACCACAAAGAAATATTCAAGGAC